GAGAGCTCTGTTCCAAAAAGGCTCCCTCCTGAGCGGGTCTCCCCCTTGTGTCTTCTTACCCTGAGTGTGGCAACTGCCCCTTAGTAGATATGTGCTGACCGTGGACTGCTGTGAGGATGACACGTTTCTGCCTCCCTCCCAATGAGACACTGGTCCTTCCCCATGGCCGGTCAGGAGGATCTGATTCACTTGGTTACCATCTGGCACATTCTCGGCAGCCACCACCTGAAACATTGGAGGCTCAGGAGGTGGTGCTGGTCAGACTCCCCCCAGCTCCTGGTCTGACTGCCGTGGAATTCCAGGCTCAGAATGGAGAGGACTTGCCTCGGGCGGCACAGCCAGAAAGAGCGCAGCCAGCAGCGTGGACACCCTACTGTCCACCCGTGCCCTGATCTGGGATCCATAATGCTCTTTGCATATTTCCTTTCAGAGCACTTGGTGCATTGTTGGCCTCCTTCCAGAGGACTGAAAGTGTCTCTAGGCCCTCCTACTAGCCCAGTTTTTGTGTCCCATGCTAACCCAGGGCGAAGGCATCTCTGCAGCAAACATGGCCATTTGGAGGTGCCCTCTCCTCACAGGCTCTCTCTGGCATCCCTGCTGAGAGGTCTGCCCGTCCGCCTGCCTAGGGACTGACGTCTTCCCCATTCACATCTTCCCCAAGTTTGCCAAGTTGCCGCCCATCCTCTCTAACAATTCCCATGGCTGCTCTTCCTTCGTCTCAAGCAGGCTTGCCCACGGCTGACCTGCCCTGGCACGTGCATACACACGGGTCAAGCAATCACAGCCGCATCTCGGCCCGCCCCCACCATCACCTCCTGCTGCCGGGGGGACTCACTCACTGTAATTACATGCACTTATCCCGGTTCTGTTCCCTTTGAAAAATGTTTGGCCTTTCATGAACTAAACGGAGACAGTTAGCTGTCTCTATGTGTTTAGCATATTTTGAAATTGTGAAGGTCATCTGCCTTGAAGTAGAAACTTCTGGAAGACCTGAATTGGGCTGACAGAGTTTTCTGTAATGTTGAGCGTCTACTATGCGCTAAGCCTCTCTCTGAGTGCCCCCTCACTGATGCTCTCAGCCTCCTGGGAGGTAAGGACTGTAATCTCATGTTACTGGTGAGGAAGCACACTCGGGGGTCACACAGCACCCAATGCTGGGAGTGAGTCTAGCCCAGCTCAGCACGTGTGTGAAGAGGCTCATGCTCTTTCCATGAACGTGGTTCTCCCTCCCTATGGCGAGTGGGTCATCCAGACGGGACAAGGGATCAGCACAGTGACCGTCCCTATGGGATCACTCCCATGAACATACGCACATGTGCTGTCTCCCTGCTTAAAAACAATCGTTCCTTTACATCTCCCTCCAGCTCATCCTGCCCCTGTGCAGAGCCAAACTCCTGATAATTGTCTACACCCACCATCACCACTCATTTCCCCGCCCCTTCTCACTTGAACTCACGCCAGCCCATCTCGTGTCAACCGAAACATCTCTTACCAAAATTCTCACTGATCCCCGTGTCACCAAATCCAAAAGAGGATTCTCAGTTCTTACCTGGCTCAGCCTCTCAGCAGCATTAGACCACCATTGCCCACTCCCTCCTTCATGAAACACTCTCTCTGGCTTACAGGACACCAGGCCTCCTGGCCCCCCTGCTCACGGCTTGTCCTCGTGTCCTCTCTTGGACCACACTGTCCTCCAGCCTGGCCCAGTCTTCTGACTCTTCCTGTCTGCAGTGACCTCCGTCTCCGGACTTTAAGCACCACCTCATACACCAGTGGTGACTCCCAAAGTTATAGCTCCTACCTCCACTTCTCCCTGAACTCTAGACTCATAGACCCAACTGGCTGTTTGATATTTCCACCTGGATACCTAACAGGTTCCTCAAACTTAAGCGTAACTGATGCAAAACCAGACTCCTGCCGTCCATCTCCACCACCATCTTGCCCGCAGTTGTCCCCATCTTAGGCAAGCCTGCTCCACTTTCCCAACTACTTAGGCTGGAATCCTTCTTGGTGCTTTTCCTCATACCACCCAATCCATCGGCAACTCCCGCCACCTCTATTTTAAAGAGATCCAGAAGCTGACCTCTTTCATTGCCAATGCCCAATCCACGCCCCCTCCATCTCTCTCCGTGGCCACCGCAGCTGCCTCTGCTCTCCTTGTCTCCGTCCTTGCCCCCACAGCCCATGCTCTATGTACGTTCTTCACTGAGGCCTTTAAAATGTAAGTCAGATGTAAGTAAGTCACCCGCCTGCTCAAAACCCTCCAAGGGCTCCTGTCCTACTGAGTCAAAGCCCAGGTGCTCACAGTGGCCCCAGGATGCTGGCCTCATTGGCTGCCCTCCTGGTCCACTCGGTGCCACCATGCTGGCCTCCTGGCTGTTGCTCCCTCCTCAGGGCCTGACTCACTTTCTTTTCTACCTCAAAGCATTACACATACACGCACATTTATGTGTTTGTGACCTGTCTGCCTTGATAAACTATAAGCTCTAGGAGGGTGGGGACTTGTTTTGTGTGATGCCGTATTCCCAACACCAGGCACTTAGCTGGTGCTCAATAAACTAGCACCAGTTGATTGAATAAATGGGCACTCAGACTGCAGGTTCCCAACTCACTGCCCCCCAGCATCTCAAGCCCGGGAAGGGAGATGGGCTTGTGGCCAGAGAAGCCAGATCTCCAGGTCTGCTCTTCCTCTGTCTCCTAGAGGTGTTGTCATGCACACAGGCCCTGAGGTATGAGGACCCTGAAGCCAGACGGCAGAGCAGGACGCATGCGGCTGACACGGGGGCAACATGCCAGAGCACTGCTGACCGCGGCTAGCTGCCAGAGAAGGATTAATAGTAATCCCTGCCATCCACCCAGAGTGTCCAGTTTACACAGTCCTGTCACATCCAGTATTGCATCTGGG